ATTTTGATTTAGATACTTTAATTAAATTTAAATCTATAACTGTCATTGGTTCCGGTAAAGCTTCAAGATATTTAGATGAATATTATGGATGTGAACCTCTTTGTAAGAATTCATTTTCATAAGTGAGTTGATTTTTTTTTAGGAAGAATTTACGACTTAAAATTAATTGAAATTTTGAATTTGCAAAATAGTCAATCTGTGGAAAACCTTTCACATTGTATTAATAATATGTGTATGCATAATGATCTTACTTTTCTTGTATTTTAAACGAAAAAATAGGGAGGTAAATATCATTACCTTAATTTGAGCTAAAATAATCAAAAACTAATATAAATTTTTTTAATTAGGCAAAAAATATTAAAATCTTACAATTAATTCTTATGTTTGACTTTATTATTTATATTCTTCTTATTTGTATAAATTTAAAGAAAGGCGATATATTATTTATTCCAAGGTAAATAAATCATTTTTATTAAACTTCTAAATAAAAAAATTATATATTTACAATAATTTTTTTTTTAAAGTATTATAATTTTAGTATTACCATTCATTGTAGGTTTAGGATGGATACTTTCAATTATAAAAAAGGAAATTAAAAATGATGAATTTTTAGAATGGTCAAAAAATAATATAAAAATATTATTATTATTCATTTTATTATCTGGAGCTAATATTGAAATATTAACTTTATTAGAATCAAAAATTGGAAAATATGAAGTTTTTAATGCAAAATTTTCTGAAAAAGCTTTAAGTACAATTATTTTTGGAAATTTATTTAATTTATTATTTAAAGAAATGCCTCAAGTGTATATAATATTTATTCAGGTAAGTATATATTTTATCTTAATTTTATTCTTTTTTATCAAATTAAATGTTGAATTAATTTTTATTATTAATAATAAAGATTTTTTACAGATATCATGAGAGTATTATACCATTATTATCATTTTGCTCATCTTGTATAAATTTAATAATTAATATTATTAATATAATTATAAGATTATATAATTCATACAAATCTAAAAATGTTGAAAATGTAGAAATGGTTATTGGAAATTCTAATTGTGATTACAGTAATGTTATTGATAAAGATGATGAAAATTATGGAGGATTAAATGATGAATGTGTTTTTTAAAGTTAGATCTATACAGTTAAATAAATATAAAGCTAATTCAAATTACCAGATGTTACTTTAGAATAGGTTATATTTGCATCATATAATTCTAATGAAGATAAAGATAAAATGGATGTAGAAAACTGAAGTAATAGATAAAAAAAGGATAGAAGCAGTGAGAAAAAAGAGATTAATTGATAATTTATTAAATTATTAGCAATAAAAATTAAATATTTTATTAAAATAGAATGAATAAAATATTAATTTAACTTATAAATTGATAGGATTAGGAATTAGGTTATTATAATATTAATATATATTTATTGCATAATGAATTTGTTTTAATTACATATAAATAAATTTTTAATAAATATTGCATTTCATATAAATTTAATATAATAATCATATAAAATTATTTAGAAATCAGCATGCTGATATAGGTATATTGTATATATAATACTCATATGATATTTAATAACCCAATCTGTAATCTATTATTAACTATTTTTGCTAAAGATAAAAGAGAGTACAAAATTTGATAATCATAGAGATATCAGAATATAATTGAATATATATAATACAGATATCAGTTTTATGATATCTGACTAATATCTTATCATTCGATCAGAGATACAGTTTCTGGCAAGAAATCACCGATCACATGATTATTGATTATTATTTGTTTATTTTTAAAACCTGTTATCTCAGCCATTTTCTTATTAATACATCTCTAGTTGTTTGCCACGTATTACTAAAATCTTTATTATTTAAATATGGTTTTTAAAAGAAAAGAACTTTCTATTTTTAAACATGGTGAAGTCGTTGATACTTGAAAATGTGAATAAGCGAAAGAAAGATTGGCAAAGCTTTAAACCATCCCTAAATTGATTCAATAATTAAATTATGCACTTATTATATAATGCTAAAAAAGAACTTTTTATTTTATATTAGATATAACAGAAGAATCAATAATTGAATTATTACGAGAAATAAATACTGAATTAATAGAAGAAGCAATAATTAATGAAGAATTACTACATCTGATTATTTATTTTTCTAATGCTAATCTTCTATCTAAAAATACTAGAGTAGTATATGTAACCCAATTGGTTGCATTGAATACTAGAAATAATGAATTATAATTACAGGATAATGTAACTTCAAACAAATATACTATTAAATTATAATAAAGCTTTCAAAATAATACATTATTTATGAAGAGGTTTTAAATTTAGAAGTACAAAAACTTATTGAAGAATTAGAAGAATTTTCTTATAAAGAAAATGATGATTTTTTAAATGAAAGTTTAATGAATAAAGAAGATAGGATACAGTCATAAGTTTAAATGAAGAAATACTAATTAAAAGATAAATGATATAATTAGATTTTTTTTTCTTATCTTTTATAAATAAATATATGATATTATAAATAAAATTAAAGAATAACTTTGCTATAAATGATTTTCTTAACTTATAAAAACAAATATTTTTAAAGTTAAAATATTATAGTTTAATATTAATGAATTTATGCCATCTGTCAAAACTTTTACTTCTGTTAAAACTTTTTGTTACCTATTGAAACTTTTGTCACCTGCCAAAACTTTTGCTAACTGTCAAATTTTTGCTATCTGTCAAAAGTTTTACAGTTTTACTTTTAATAAAAAATTATAGCAAAATGTTTTGATAGATTTTGATTTCAATGCTTATCAAAACCTTCAGATTTTGTCTGACAAACTGTTTCAGGATTATCATTATTTAAAGTAAATATTTTATTACTTATCTTTTCTTTGAATTAATCATACTCTCTCATGCATGATGTCTTTTTTTTACATTATGACAGGTGAAATTTTAGGTAGATTTAATTGATAAAACTAGAAAGTCAAGTTTATTGTCATATAGATCTTTAGAGAGATCATTTTTGTCCATTTTATTGCCATCGATTATTATGTAAATCCTTAGATATCAATTTTATTGCTCTTGATAATTACGTAGATCATAGATGTCCATTTAGTTGCTTGCAAATCTGGCAATTTTATTAACACAGCAACTTTATTGTCTGGCAAAGTGACAACTTTATTTCTTTTGATATATTTAGTTTATTTTATTTTATTAATTATTATATATGTATAAATATCTTTGTATTTTCTTTGAGTTTCAATACTTATAAGATGTTAATCTTTTAGGTATTGAACTTATATATTGTATAAATAAAAGAGTATAATTAATCAAATATAAAACTTATCCTTCGCAAACTCTTTGAAACTGTTATAAATTATTCATAATCCTTTTCATTTATTTGTAATTCCTATAATTATTATTCATAAATTTATTGTATGATATTATATTGATTTACTATATTTACATAGAGTCTCTGAAGTGTAATTTCTGAAATATCTTTGAGTTATTTTTGTGTTATTTTTGTGTTTTATCTTATGTGAATTATTTTGAGAATGATTTTTAATATTATTGTGAATCTTTACTTGTAATTCCTCAAGTATTTGTCTTAGTTTTATTTACCTTTTGAGATTTTACTTGAAATTATAAAATTGACTTAATAACATAAAAATATGCAAAGATTGAAAATTACTTTATTTGCTATAGAATCATATATTGATTGATTCTTTTTGCATTATAAAATTACAATATAAGTTATAAAAAGTTTTTTTTCAATTTTTTTTGTTGTTAATTAACATTACTCTTTCCATCAAATAAGTTAATTATAATTTGAAGTCAGGGAGACAATAGCTTTGATTTAAATCCAATCAACTTAACACGCTATTAATTAGAGAGTTTATTTAGTTAATAAGAATAAAATTATAAGTTTTATGTTTGTAAAATGTTAAGATTGTTTATTATTATTATTAAAGATATATTTAATACAATGTTTTGATTTATTCTTTTTCTAAGGTATTTTCATGCCCTTTATAAACGAGAATTACAATAAGAAAATCTATGATATTTATAATACTATTGACAATAATAATAGAACTAACAGATATGCTAATTATGTTAAATATGAAATAAATAATAATGAAGATAAATATAATAAAAATATGATAAATGTTATATGTATCCTATTTGGCAGATATGGCATATTTGTCATATATATCATATTTGACAGGTCTGTCAGTTTCTTCCAGTTTTAATATAAGTATATAATAATGTTTAAGACTGATCTGTGATGCTGAATTATTTGTCCAATTGAAGTCGATTGATATCAATCAATATCTGAATTATTGCTAAATTGATATTGAATTGAGGCTAATTTTAGGCTGATTTATGATTGAATTTAAGTTTTAAATAGTCATGTCTGATTGGAATCGATCAGCATCTATTAGCATTTGTTTGTGCCGATTAGAAAATATAGCAAATCAGTATCAAAATTAGCCTAAAATTAGACATCCAATTTTTAGCCGATTTGAACTATTTTGACTAGTGTTAAGATCCTAATATTTCAGATTATATGATAATAATATAATATTCAAATAATAATAGTTTAAAAAAAAGTTTACTAAAAATAATTAAATTTGATTGGACTCATAAATTATTATTATTACTTGATATTATTAGTAGACTTAATGAAATACATAATTTAAAATTGGTATATCATGATTTAATAAGTAAATTTCATAATATATAATTAAATATGTATATTTAAAAATTTTAATCAGTACTAAAAAAGATTTATATAATCTAACTGTTTTTCACACATTTATTTTTCTTTAAATAATGATCTTATTAATTTTCTAATACATTGATGTAAAATATTTTATAAATTTTTTTAAAAATAAAATATATTGGTTACTTACTAAATAATAAAATTTCTTTGAGTAAGATAGATTTGACTGATTATATATAACTAAATATTATTTATAAAAGTTTATCCATCTTAATTACAGTAGGAATCATAAGTATCTGACCCTTTACCATTTAAAAAATAATCAATAAATAATAAAAAATTTTTTTATTATTATAAAGTACAAGATCAATCCTGATTATTAATATATAGTATAGTCTTCTGTCACTTCTATTAATGCTATAACCCTCCTTTCTATATTACTAATGAGTTTTTTAGCTAATTCATTTAATAATTAATTCTATTCTTTTGTTAATTCTACCCTTAATCTCCTAGTTGTACCAAATTTTTTTTGATATTTTAATTTTCATAAGCTATTACACATTTTCTATAGAATTTAGTCAGATAACATAGACGGCCAAGATAGTACAGTCACCTCATTTTCTTCTTTCTATTTTTGCAAAGTTTTAAACAGTGCTTAAGATCATTATTTTCTTGCAAGATCTACTCTATGTTATCTTTGCTAAAAAACTCACAGGCAGAAGGTAAAAAACCCTTTTATAAATATTATTCATAAAAAGAGCATTCAGATTTCGTTCAAAGCAAATTAACTTATCAAATTCTTTAAACAAAAAACAATTCCTAACATGAACCTTTTATGAATGCTTGATTATATAAAATACTTTTTTCTTCTGAGCGAATTACCAGACCTTTTTATTTGATTGAAATAATTAAAAGGTACTTTTATTAATAAAAATGACTTTATTCTAATTGAATTTTTGATGTTTTTTGCCTATTTCAATCGGGCAGTTCTGTGCTTTTCAGAAAGTAAAAATTTTGAAATTTCTTTCACAAATTTACCCAAACTTACCAAAATGTCACCTAATTGTACTTTTACTAATTGTAACTCCTTGTTTTTCAAGTTTATTTTGTATTTCAGTAGCTGTAATATTATGTTTTTTCATTGCCATTTTCACAATTCTCTTATCTTATATTTTAGTCGTATTGCAAGGTTGACTTGACTTTTGTTCATCGGTTAAATTCTTATTTAGACAGTATTTTTAGATCTAATAAATTGCTGTAGACCTACTACAACTAATATAGGAAGCTATTTTTTTATAGCTCTACTTTAGACCTTTTGAATATTCATGTAAAAAAGCAATTTATATCGTTTATTAAGAGAAAGTGCCATTTTTTGTGATGTAAATTCACTGATTATCTAACTCTTAATTTATACATTATATGAACCTATAATTTTGCAGATGATCAAGATTATCATTGAACTTAAATCATATGAATTTTCATGGTAGATTATCACATAACTTTGGAAAATATTTGGAATCAGATAATTATGATTGCTAATATATTTAAACATTATTTTTTCTCTATCTCTTTTGTCTATTTTGTTATCTACTTTATATATATAAATTACAAATATTAATAAAATTTTGTTGACTTCTTACCTTTCTTATCTTCTTCCTCTTTATCTAAAAAATTTGTAACCATAGCATATTATAATATATTCGTAGTTTATAATATATATTATAATATAAATCCAACTATTTTTAAAATCTATCTAATCAATCATAATTAGAAAAATTATGTTTTTTGCCTATGAGATAACATTATAATTCCATATATAGAATAATGTGAAATGTCAAGAGTTTATACAAAAAATCAACTAGAATAGCCGCACGAGTTTTTTCATCAAATCCTTCATTGTTTTCAATCATTTTATCAACAGGACGTGAAAACCAATCTTGAAATTCTTTTTGATTAGCATACTCAAACGACATATCATCATTACGTGAATTAGGTTTTAAAAAGTACAACAAAGACCATAATTCCATAAGATTATTTTGCAAAGGCGTTCCAGTTAGTAGTAATCTTCTCTCGGAATTAAAGTTCAATAAAGTATTCCAACGTTGAGATTTAAAATTCTTGATATTATGAGCTTCATCAAGAATCAAATAGTGCCATTTCTTTTTCCTGAAATTAATTGCATCTTGCACTGCGAGATGGTAAGAAGTGATACAAACATGGAACGAATGTTCTTTTGACCATCCCAAACGTTTTTCTTTACGTTCTTTTGGACTACCATAATAAGTTAAAATGATAAATCCGGGACACCACTTTTTAAACTCCATTTCCCAGTTAATAATAACGCTTGTAGGTACAATAATTAAATGAGGTCCCCAAACTCCTTTATCGCAAGCCAAATGAGCCAATAAAGCAATGGTTTGAATTGTTTTACCGAGACCCATCTCGTCAGCAAGAATGCCATTACTCCCTTGTTCATATAAACTAGCAAGCCAATGAAGACCATCATGTTGATATGCACGAAGTTGACCTCTCAATAATGAAGGTATTGGTGTCCTTGCTTTGGTAATCGTAAGAGCCGTTATATTAGTAGACTGTCTTGATGTATCAGTACCATCTTCTAGTATACCAGGTTCTTTTTCCAGCTTTTTTCTCTTTGCACTTAATTTAGAATTGTCTGAACGATTATCAGAGGTTATAATAGCCTTTTTCATAAAGCTTTCCTGGGACTTGGATATTAAAAATTTGGTCGTGAAATCGTCATCTGTATCAGTAGTTACTACAGAAATCGACTCATCAGCTTCATGTTGTCGAGGCATCTCACCACCATTCGCTGGAATGTTTTCAATTCGAACAGATACATTCGAACTTTCAGAACTTTGTGTTGACGTATCTAATTCTGAAAGACTATCATCGTCACTATCATATAATGATAAGACATCACTTTTTCTTTTCTCCTGAACACCCTTTCTTAAACCTTTACTAGTAGTACCATTTGAAACTAGCTTTGACTCTTCAATATCGGCATTATTTTCTTCCTCGGAATGTTTATTAACGCCATAACGCTTTAATAATTCATCTATGGGAAGATTCATTTCATCAGCTAATTCGTTTAATTCAATCGCTTCCTCTTCAGAATCTTCTTCAAGTTCTTGAGCTTCCAACGAAGCCTCATTATCTTCAACACACTGATCCAGTGACACTGTAAACTCTCTGTCATTAATGTCAGGATCATCACTAAGATTTACCGTTTTTATATCGAGAGATAATGTTCGTTTGCGTAAACTCTTTCGAAGTGCATTGTCTAATTGCTCTGGAGTAGATATTGAAGGGAAGGAACTTGCCTCATTGTCAACATTCATATATGCGTCCGACTCTCCATGTTGAAAAGATTGATCTTTTTCAACTTCTTCATCAGACATATCCGGATCTGTAGAACGATTATCTTCCTGATCCTCAAAATAAAGAGGATAATCATATTTTTCCATTAAATCCTCTAATGGAAGGTCTTTCTCAGCTTGTAAATTACGAATTTCTTCGTCATCATCCGAAGATTCAATTTCCATGACCTCTTCATCCATTGACATTTGATCTTCATCAGATAAATTAATATCTGATTTGAATTCCTGCTTATCATTGTTATTTATATTAACATCTTCCATAGTAGTAGTTCCCATTAAATATTTTTCGTGAAATTCAATCTTCTGAGTAGCATCTTCAAAAAGTGCATTAAGCTTTTGTTTGCCTCGTCGTTCTTCTTCTTCGGCCACCAGCTTGTCATGCATATCATTAATAAACTAGAATATCAATTTCGAATTAATAATTAATGCAATATAAATGTTTTGAAGTAATATCTATGGTTATAAATTTTGATATATCAAAATATAAGATGATATTTGAAAAACTATAAAAATAAAAATATAAAATAAATATATTGTGATATCTTACTTTCGCTATTTCTCTCCACCTATGTTTGACTAAGTTAGCTGTTGTCTTAGCTAACTTTTTGATTCGCTTTTCTTCAGCTTTTATCGCATTTGGCTCTTTCATCGCTAATTTGTTAAAATGTCCTAAAATTGCCCTACTGACTTGATGCGTTTTTCTTAACCTTTCATCACTACTTTTATTAATTCTTTTCGACTTTGCCACTACTCCGTCAAGAATGAAATCCCAATGAACCTTTTGGCGTGGTGGTTCAGAAGCTGGTTTAGGAATTGGTTGTAATTTTCCTTTATTTTTTAAGACTAAAATACGATAATCAACATCTATCTCGTTTGGAAGCCTAGCTGCTTCTTCAGCAGGGGTGATATCCTCATCATCCAAAGTGATAAACGATTCCAAATATGCTTCAAAACTTGGAAATTGAGCATGACCTCGCCTACGTAGCGAATACAATGACATACTACCCGATGATGCATTATCACGATTACTAGTAGAATCTACTCTTGAGGACCTACGGAATGGGCGACTTCCACTGTCAGAGTCTCCAGAAGTATGCTCGGATGGCATAACATTGTGGAAAACTCGCGAACCGATAGATTGTTGTAACATACTGAGGATAGAATCACGATGTTTGTTAAGTGACCGACGAGTGGACATCCTAGTAGAATTTGATTGGATGCTGTTGGTGACTTGTTCGTTTAAAGAGGACCATAGGTTGTGATTTTCTAAATACTAAGTCAATCATTATTACAAAACATAAACACCCATTTAGCACACCCCGAAATGAATTTATTTAAATTAGATAAATAAAAAAATTTTTTAAGTTTATTTATCAAAATTATATGATACAGAATAAAAGTAAAAATAAACAACTTTAAAACTCTGAATAAATTAAATTTAAATCTAATATGAATCAGTGTAACGGTGCGAGAAAATCGTACCTTAACCATACGCTCACTATTATCAGAATTTATTTTTTGTGGGTCGAGATCCCACATCAACATATTATAAGATTCCATATAATACAACTCTCGAACCAAGCTGTCATGTTCTTCAACAACTTGAACGAGATCATCCACACGCTCCTTTACACGCTCTTCACGAATTATACCCAAGGGAGTCTTTGGCTTTTCTGGCTTCTTAGATATTATCTCCGACAGAGATTCTTCATTATTTGACAAAGTTTTAGTTCTTTTCGTCCTAGGAGTAACAAAAGTTTCCTTAGAATAATTGCCATCATTATTTTTTGATTCATTTAATGTTGCATTTCTACTATTAACGTTGATTTTTCGTTTCCGATCATTTTGACGCGCGGATTGTCCGTTAACAGGAGATTTCATACTATCCAATGGTAGCGGATTTTTACGAGGTCGACCTGGCCCTCGTTTTATAGGAGTAACGTTTACAGGAACATCAGAAGTTGTACCTATTGGAATTTCGCTATTATTTCCATTAAATATTGGTTTTTCCGACATTCTTTGCGTAAAAGTATCAGTATTTGAGACACTTGTATTACTAAAATGTGCAGATGGCGTGACTTCGACAGAAGTTTGATTACCAGATACCTTTTTCTCAGGTGTAGTTGAAGTGGAGGTAGTACCTGAATCCAAAGAAAACTTTAAACGAAGTGACTTTGCAGGCCTAATAGGTGGTCTCCCAACAGGTTTACTCGATTGCGCATTTGGACGAGGTATTATAGGTGAACCTATAGTGCGTTGAGTCTCTGTTAAATCAACGTTTTTACGTGGTCGACCAGGACCTCGTTTAGGACTAATAATTTTAACTTGGTTCTTTGCAGATAAGGATTTCTTCTTTGTAGGAGATTCCGTACTACTATTACTACTAAAGCTATCATTGCTAGTATCTGTTTCTGAGTAAATATTATATCTCCGAGGTTTTTTTCCAATATTTCTTTGTGACCTCCGCGTAGTAGTTACTGCGGCACTATTATCTTGACAGATTACCACTTTTACTTCTTCGTTTTCAATAAAGTCGATTCCGCTAGTACTTTGACTTATGCTTGGTGATATTTCTAAAAAATTATTAGTTGTGATTTGCTCTTTGTTACTTATTTCGTTATTTGGTGGTGTTGGTATAGGTTCGTTTACATTAATTTTTTCAGTGAAGGAATTGTTTTCCTTATGATCGTTGGAGTTTGACATTGTCATTGCACAAGCTACGACCATTGTAAAGTAATATTCATACTTTATAGGACCTCAAAACAATATATCAATATGATATATAACGTTAAACTTTTGTGGCGAAGAAAGTTTAACTCGGAGTTTTTTTTTCTTTCGTCACTTCCTGCAAATAAAAACCTTTTTTAACTCCCCTTTTACTTTTATGGGAGTTGCATGATTACGAAATTCACGTGATTTTGTTATAATTTTATTAATTGTTAAGATCTATAATTCGAAAAAAAAAAAATTTTTTTAAATATAGTCTATAGTTTATTTTTAAAAATGAATGTTTTTTTAACAAAATTAGCTTTTAAGTGATATATTACCATATAATATAATTATATTATATAGTGGTATACCACTTATAATAGATTATAGTATTACTATATAATCTGATTACTACTATATAATCTTATTACCACTCTATAATCTGATTACTACTTGAATATCATTCTATAATTTAATATCTATAATCTAACCATTACTCTATAATCTAATAAATATAATCTAAATTCTTATAACCTATCTTTTTTTTTTATCAATTATCTCTTTTATGTTCTGATTATTTATTTAATCCTTTTTTGCTATTCATATTTTTATATTGATGTAATTTTTTTTACCACTCTTTAATCTAAATAACATACACTCTATAATCTAATTACCTTTCTTTTCTTTTTGTTTTAAAACTATTTATAAATCAAATTTTATGTTGAAAATACTAATCTTTTATACCTGTTTGATATCAGCTTCTATATTGAGATATTAATCTTATATACATAGTTAAGTATATAATTCCCTATTGAGGATTCTGATATTCTATACCTGTTTGAATGTTTAGTTTTATATTGAAGGTATTGACCTCTATACCTGTTTAGATATTGGATTTTATACTGAATTGCTTACCTTTTTACATCTATTTAATTGTCTTTCTAGATGTCAAAGTGATGTAAAAAAAGGTGACAGTTAGTGTGTAGTAAATTTGCAATTAATTTTAATTGACATTATAGCATAATTTTGACTAGTCTTTAAGATAATTTAAGGATTTAAGTTAGCGTCAAAAACTATTATAGATCTGCTATAGAGCTAACAGAGAGCAGAGGGAGTGAGATACCACGCTTTAACTTAATTAAGTTAAAGCGTGGTATTCCACTTAGACTAGGTTATAGTATCACGCTATAATCTAAATACCATGCTATAGCCTGAATATCGCGTTATAATCTAAATATCACACTATAATCTAAATACCACACTATAATCTAGATGTTACACTTAAATCTAAATATCGCACTATAATCTAAATACCATGCTATAATCTAATGATTACAACCTGATCGCCACGCTTTAATCTGAATACATAACCTGGTTACCACTCTTTAATCTACCCTTTTTATTTTGATGTTACCTCTGTTCGCATTCTATTTATATATTTATACCTTTCTTGGTATTTGCATTTTTCTCATATGTATGATTTTGTTACCACGTTATAATCTAAATATCACCCACACTTTAATCTAACTACCTTTCTTTTCTTCCTGTTTCTACTCCACTTGTGATTTAAGTTATATATTGATGATACTAACCTCCTACGTCTGATTGGATGTTGGATTCTATATTGGAGTGCTTTCCCTTTGTGCCTATTTGGTTGCCTTTCTAGGGGCCAAAGTAGCGTAAAAAAAAGATATCGGGTGGCGCTGTAAATTCAGGATTGATCACACTAGAAACAATTGGCTATACCACATTCCTGATAGATTGCGTTCCCATCAATAATTTTTGATTTACTACCATGGAAAGCATTTTCTTCGGAATAAACATGAAAACATTTTTCTCTCTGATACATTCATTTTATAAATGATCACAAATTGGAGCACTGGATTGAGAACTCCGTTAACGATCGGAGCGCTTCAGAAATTTCAGAACTGGAGATACCATATGTTATCATATGTGATAATGAATTTATAAGAAATAAATATAGCACTAGTAATGTATATCCATCGAAGCCAGTACCATGGCCGGTCTATTTGATTGTCAAAAAGTGCGTCATCCTACAACTCAACTATTGTCTATTTGTTGCCGGTATAAGTCTTATGCGGAGGCTATACCATATCCAAGTACATACCATCTCAATGGGGGCTTTTGCCAATATTTATATAATAGATTACGTAAAAAGCTACACTATACCTGGATACATACTAGTGTTAGGGTATTCTTCTTCCAATTTTTATATAATAATTACGAAGAAGAATACCCTAAGTACTCATGTATACACATTAGTCATAGCTTTTTTTTCGGCTTAACTGTTAGTATACTAAAAAAATATGAGTGAAAATTTTATCCTATATATTCGGAATGATACATGCTTCCTATATATCCCATACATCTTATTTATCCGAAATATTTTTATCTTATATATCCTATTTATCCTGTTTATCCGGAATATCTCCTTCCTGTATATTTGGTATAATATATTTTTCTTGTATATCCTATATATCCTATTTAATAAAATATTTCAGAATATTATATTAGATATAAAAAAATATTACTACTATGCTTAGACTACGCATGAGATGTGATGCCCCTCCTTTTTCGCCAGCCGATTACGATTTTATTATGCAATGTCGTGATGATAAGCCAAGGTCTAAAGTTTTAAATGAACTAAAAGAAAAATATAACACATCACAAAAACGCATTTATCAGATCTGGAGAGGTGAAGAAAAAAATAGGGTTGCGTGGGATCAACCAATTTACATGCCTATAGTTGGTTCTGAAGGGACCGCTTCGCTTTCTAGTACTATAGATAAACAGAATGATACATATTTTCAAAATAATTACAATTCTACTATTTTAGCACTGGAAAATATAGGACACGATGCTGGGGTAGAGTCTAGCAAATCTACTAATCTGGCTTCAGAAGAAGGTATTATTTTAGGTAATAAAGCGAAAAAGGCTGGAGGAAAGAAACCCAAGTCCAAATCTGTTAGAATCTCTGAACCATCTATTACCCAGAATCAGCCAACGTCTACAAGTTTAGAGGGTTCTGATGGTTTAAATATTAGCAGAGAGGATCTGGGTGCATTTTATGAAAAAGAAGCTAAGAACGACGAAAAAATTAAAGCAGAGGTGAATAGACGTCTAGCTATGTAGAAGATATTTCCCATTTAATTTATCATAGCGTACTAATAATTTCTCACACAATTCGTTAAGATCCTCTTTAGACTTAAGAGCGTTAAATA